GGAAGCCTGCACATGGGAGGAGCGTGTCAGCCACACGCCACGGTAGCACGATGTATAGGGTACGGTACCAAGATACCCATCAGGGCGACAACGAGGTCGACGGAGCGGTGGGCCCAGATCATGACCACGTCGCCATTGGTAATGCCCGCATTGTGCAGGTGCCATGCGAGGGTGTTGGCGGCTTCGTATATCTGGCGGTAGGTGAAGCGCCTCTCAGGACCTGTCGACGACTTGGTCTCGACGACGCATGTTCGTTCGGGGTGTGCCTCTGCCTGGGCGCGGAAGTGCTCCTGGATGGAGCCGACGTAGCCCGACCAGTCGAGGTCTACGGTGGGGTCGGGTAGCTGAGACATGGTTGACCTGGATGTAGAGAATTGTTAAAAAAAAAAAAAAAAAAAAAAATTGCGAGGCCAATGGCTCTTTTTTGGCTTTTTATAAGACTGACTCTTTTCGCTCTGCATACATTGAATTTTTTTTTTTTCCCTCTTGGAGGGGTGACTCAATTGGAGCTCTGCGCGCTTCGCGCTGCTGTCCGACACCGGGATGGAGGGGCAACCCCACTAAACGGCGGTGTGGGTCTCCACTCCCCGCAGTTTCTCCCCAGCTCTTTCTCGTCAGGTGTGGAGTCAGTCACCCAAGATCAAAATTTGATCTGAGAAAGAAACTGTTTGTCTGTCCCTTTTCAGTCCCTCGAGATTTGACAGCCCGGTCGGCAAATTCAAAATCGACATCCTTGCAGGCCGCATGCCTTCATGTCTGGCTATCTGCTTGTGGCCATGCGGATTCTTTGACAGACAAACCCCTCTAGGGGCCTTCCCAGCGCAATGAAATTCAGAGCAGTCTTGCTTTGACGGCCAATTACGAATCAGGTCTTCGACAATGCCAAAGCTATCTAGCCTTAGTCAAGCTAGCCGAGGTTTAGTCGTAAAGACGCCCGGGAGTTTTCAGATGTTGATATCGGGAGCAAGCCACGTGCAAGCGCAGGGATGAGCCGGCTTTGCTCTGCTCTGGATTGATGGGCCCTGAAAGTGCCGTTCCCGCTCCCGTGGCTGCACCGAAATCTGCGGTCCGTGCGGCCGGCCCCGACTGGCCAGAACGCCGAGCACGGGATCTCCTGTCAGACCCCTGAAACTCGGCGTCATGGGGTGGCGAAGTCTAGCTGTGTCTCGGCCAACCCCGTCCACTGGATTTCCTTGATTCGGCGCGTCGTCAAACAGCCGACAACAGATGACGCACAAAGGGTATCCCACCAACCCTCAATTGGCTGCAACCATCCCTCTTTACGCAGGATCTTGGAACAGCAGGCGAAGCTACTGCTCTTTGTCCAATCTTGCAAGCGCCTTTGATGGGAGAGAGGCAACCCAGCAGCCACATGCATGTGCTTGCGCAACTTTGCATGGCAATGTTCCGGAGCCCAGGGGCTAGCTCCCGAATCTGGGAGTGGATATTTCATCACGTTTTGCCAGCTCAACCCAAGTTGACTTGCTAGCTGTGCTGCGCAAGGCAAATTGACTGCCACGTTCTTCCTTCTTTATACATATTACAGGACATACGCAGATTGTCCCTCAAAGCATATATTTACCTCCATCCTCTTGACTCTTCCTGTTGTGGTATGCACCAGTAGCCTTTCTGTCGTAAGATCGAGACTTTTTTTTGGACCACGCCGCCATACCTATTGCCACTTAGCAACCATTTATCCCGCATAATCAGTCACCATGAAGCAACTTCCGATCGGCATCCCCATACTTATGTCACTAGTGGCCTTCATTCTGGTCCTTCTGGCTCTCCTTGCTGGTTCGAGGCCGGATTTTATGGAGGAATACGACATCATTGCTGTAAGTTAGTAGATTTTTATGCTTGGCAGGAGATGTCGCTGAAACTTTCTCTAGTTCAACACCTCAGCCCTCGGCAAAAACCTTCTCGACTTCAGCAACGATCCAGATAAGCCAAGCCCCACAAGCGATGGCCTCTGTGGCGATTTGGGCGGCTTCCTAGGCAGTGCTTGCAGCAGCGCCACAGCCGCCGTCGACAGCATCCAGAGCGACATTGCTGAAACCATCAACGACATCGGAAACGACATTGCGGACGAGCTGGCTACCAAGCTTGGCATCCACGAGTTCTACTCTCTCCATGCCCTAAGTATCTGCGAAGGCGATTTCTCGCCAAATGCTACCGCTCCGAGTGCGAGCCGCAACGCTTCCTCTTGTACTAAGGGATTCACCAATGGTATGATGATATTGCCCTACTTGCCATTCTCTAGTGTCGGCTAACCATTCCAAGGATACAACATCTCGGCTCTGCTCGACCACGGCCTGCGCGTCGGCCCCTTGAAGCTCACTCTCGCCGATCTCGGCTTCACCGATGACCTTCAAAGCGCAATCGATACGCTAAACAAGGTGACCAAGGCCTTCGCCGTCCTTCTTATCATCAGCGTAGGCTTCACCGGGCTCTCGCTAGTCGCGTCGTTAGCCGCGCTCGTCCTGATCCCGCACCGAGAGCGCATCACGCTGCTCACCAACGTCACCCTCGCCGGTGCTGCCGTAGTGATCTTGATCTTGAGCGGCCTCGTCATCACCATCGGGGCACATATCGCTGTCAACAAAGCCAATGAGCTTGGCGACGATATAGGGCTTTCTGTCAGTGCGGGCTATAGGTTTACGACTATTACATGGGTAGCCGTGGGTCTCATGCTCGTGGCCTTCGGGTATTGGCTGAGCCAGTTGCTCAAGTTCAGAAGGGGCAGCAGAATGGGGCACAACGGCGCCCGGAAGCATGCTCGCGACTCCGAGGAGAGTGGTCATACCGATGGAGGGACGGAGATGAGATCTACCAGGGGCATTCATTTTGGGCGAACTCGTCACGGCTAACCAACGGACATGGCGATTTGTTCGTTGTGAGAGTTTCGGCTAGCGTGCGTTTCTGCTTACTTTTTGGCTTTATTCTGCATGATACCAAGATTAGCTTCCGCCTTGTGCTGTTTGGTCAACAAGCCTGGAGGCAGGGCCGCCTCCGAGCGAATATATATTTTCATATTTCTGCCAAGGCCTACTACTAAGTAATGTTGAGACATATATATATATATATATATATATACTGCCTCCCGATAGTGCACATGTTCACCCAAAGACAATATTGTCCATCCTCAATGTCTCAACCTTCTCACTCTGGACCTTCCCGGCTGCCTTGGTAGGAGCCACGGTGTCCTCCCCCTTCTCGGCCCTCGTCCCCACCCCCCACGACCAGTGTTCCCTCGGGCGGTCGGCAAGCCCCATCATAGCCTTGGCATCCCCAGCACCAGGGCCATGCTCCCTAACCATCGCCTCGGCCGCCTGCCGCGCATACCTGACCGCCTGCTCCTCGTCGGCCACCATGGAGAAGAGCAGCGCGGCCCGCGTGTAGGCGTGGCCGAGGTACGTCAGCAACCCCTCCTGCTCGTACAGCGCGACCAGCTCCGCGCCCAGCTCGGGCGTGATGGCTCCGCCCGCCGCCACCATCTTCTCTAGCCCGTCCTCGATCTCGTGGATGCGCTCCAGGCGCGCGTCCGAGGCCGCGATGCCCTCGGCCCCCGCACTGCAGACGGCGCAGGCGCACTTGAAGCCCCAGTCGTCGAGCCGCGACTGCCGGTCCGCTTGGGATAGCGTGCCGTCAATGTACGAGACGGTGAGCTCCTCGCCGGCGGTGATGTTGCGGGCGGCGATGACGGTGTGGGTGATGTTGGCGATGCGGTAGTGGAGGCTAGATAGGGGTTGTCAGTGCTCGCGTTCATATTGTCTAGCTTGCAAGGGGTTCGGCTTACTTCGGCCTGCAGTCGTGATTGAATTTGCTGACATCGGGGAAGCAGCCCAGATGGCCCGAGTACTTCCGCTCGCCGTTGATGAACAGGCGGAACGAGTTCCTGTCGATTTTTACAAAGACGTCTTCGCCGTATTGACGCATGAAGGAATCCTGCCTCTCCTTGGGAAGTCTTCGGACAGCCTTCTCGTAAAAGTCGAGCCGGGTTTCTCCGTCGAGCTCGAGATGGGGGCCGAACTGGACAAGGAGGGCGGGCGTGTTTTTCATGACCACCTCGCCCTTGAGGATGCTCCGGTTGGCGATGAGCCCGAAGCCTTTTCCGGGCATCTCCTGCAAGTAAAACGGCGGGGCTTCGTACACAAGAGTCCGCTCAAAGGGGAACGCATCTATAACGTCCACATTGACCTCGGACGAGAGCAGAACCAAGCCGCCATTCATGTGGGGGTTGAGGAATGTGCAGTATTCCATGTCCTCCACGCAGTCGTACGGACCTTCCCACGGCCCCAAGTCGCGGGTGAGGATGTTGGTCTTCTTCCTACCCTGCCATGGCGCAGGGCAGATGAAGCCACTCTGAGGCTGCAGCGGGCTGGACGAGCATATGCTCGTGTTCTCAGCCCGGGCCGTGAGCGTAAAGACGTGGATGCATAGCGCGGAAAAGAGCGTGAGGCGTTGCATGGTCTGTTACTCGTCAAGCTCCAGGGGCTGAGAATTCAGACATCAAGTTTGAGCGGTGGAAGTAGTAGGGGGGGATCTGTAAAAATACCAGAATCGACATTTTCGTGCTTCTCCGTGGCTCGGTTTCAGATCAGGTAGTTGGAACGTGGCCAGTGAGGCCTGTGATATTTGCCTAAATGCTCTGAGCGTGGTTCCCAAGCCAAATTACGGTAGCAATTAAATGGTGTGACACATGGGAAACCTGCAAGCATCGGCAAGCCTTGGAACAGCAGTCAGCTCACTCGATTCCGTTTTTGTACCGCCTGTGTATTTGTCCGTCCACGGAGAGCATAGATCCGGGGGCCTGGAGGGCATGCAAACAACATGCCCCTATTCGCGCGCAACCCCAACCCCCCCGAGAAATGCTGCGTGCCCTGACAAGAGACCCAATTATCCACCCAATATTCAACAATTACCAGTGCGCCCTGGTGCAGCGGTAATGAGCGCCCTCCAGTGTGCAGCCACAGCTACATCAAACGGTCAACGTTTATGAGTCTTCCGTAGTATAGTGGTCAGTATATGAGCTTGTCATCTTATCCCACCTCGAAAGAGGTGGGGAAGGACATCGCTCGAGACCCGGGTTCAATTCCCGGGGGGAGAGAAATAATGAGGGTATTCTTTTTGTCATTGTTGTCTTCCAAGCTATACCTTTTATTGAAGATCTTATGTCAGTGGTTCATGCGGTATACAGGACCCATATATTCTAGGTTGTAATTGTTAGGTTAGGCAAGGCAAGTACCTAGGTTAGTGTGTTGCGTGTAGTCCTTGTGCCCAACTGAGTACAGGGGGGGGGTGTGTGTGTTACCCAATAACGTCACTATTCCCTTCTGGATCGTGTTGCCAATGGGCCTTTCTGAATAACATGACCATACTACCATGCAGTATGTCATGTTGGTGTTCATAACCAGGACCACGATGGCACTGCTCGCCCACGTCACCCTTTTGATCCTAAATCATCAACACAGTTGCGCAGCTGCATCGGTCAGGATACCTCCTTGAGTCCTATCACCCAATGAGCTGCTCGTAGTATCGGATTTCTTCTTCTTCCGAGGCAAGGTGAACCAGCCTCATGATGGGGCGCAGGAGTCGGAATGCTGGGAAGTCTGGCACTTTGTTATTGGTGTGTTGGCCGTTGGGCATGGGCGTCGCATCGCATGCAAGTGTGTGTGGCGCAAAGGTCTGATTGATGGCGACCAATGGTAGTATTGGGGGCGGCAGGGAGTCATTATAACGGGCTAGTTTTGGCCATGTCAGGCAGCTAGCTCATGTAGGTAAGGTACCTAGGTAGAGAGGCAGACGTGAGGTTGCGGGGGAGCGAATAACTCCGAGTCACCCCGGATGATTTGGCCGATTTCGAGTGACCGGATTGTGCTGTGCCGCCAGATTCCTCTTTCTTAGGCTCACTTCAAGCTCTCGATTTCTGAAACAAATCGCGATGAATCAGGGCTTCGACGAACTCGGCGATATGTGGTATGTACTAATCCTTCCCCGGGTGACCCAGCCGACCAGGAATGAAAAAAAATGGGGCCTCAACCATCTGACGGTTCGTTTCTGTCGTCGTCACACAGGCAGGATGCCATCGCCGAGTACAGGCGCGACACCCAGACTACGCTCTCCTCGGCCGCTATCGAGGCGTTGGGCAGCATCAGGAGCGTCGAGGATGTTGCCAAGCACCTCGAAGCATCGGAGGCCACTTTTGCCCGCTTTCGGCACAAGAATGAGCGGCTGTGGTCAACACTCAAGACATTTGTAGCGCCCATCTCGGCCATCGCCAGCATGGCCATCACGCCGGCGTCAGTCGCCGACTATGGGACAGCGTCGAGCGCCGTGCTCGGCGCCGTCGTCCACCTGCTGAAGGCGTGCGACGAGGTCAGCAATGCGTACGACTGGGTCGAGCAGCTCTTCCGTGAGTTGCTGGATTTCTCGGACCGGCTGGGCCAGTATGTGGGAACCCGACCGGACCCGGTCCTGCGCCGTAAGATAGTCGCCATTCTGGCCGTCATTCTCAAGGTCATCGGCCGCTCCCAAAAGCTGATCCGCGAGCGCCGTTTCCGCGAGTACCTCCGAGTGACCTTCCTGGGCAAGGACGCGACGACCAAGAAGCTGATTGACGACCTGAACAAGGTGCTCGGAAGCGAGCAGAGATACGTGCTCGGAGTGACATACGCAACCGCACAGAGAACCGAGGAGGTGGCCAGGTCGACCAACGAGACAGTCAGTAAGGTCCTCGACACCCTCGAGGATGACAGAGACAAAAAGACCCAGGCAGAAGACGACGGTCGGCTGCGTAACACGCTATGCGCCACCTCGGCGCCCGCCGACGTCGAGGAAATACTCGTCAGGAACGAACGGGCGCTTCTCCAGGGCACCGGAACCTGGCTGGAGAAGGAGCCCTTCTTCCGCGCTTGGATACGCCGCGAAGCCGCCATTCTCTGGATATTTGGTGGCCCGGGCTCGGGGAAGAGCTTCCTGTCAACGCGCTTGATCCAGCAGCTAAAAGAGAAGAACTGGAACGAGGGCGGCAGCGATGCAGTGGCCTACTTTTTTGTCAAGGAAAACAGCGAGAACTTGCGTGATGCCAACATCCTCTTGAAGACGCTGGCCTGGCAGATTGCGACACAGGACCTGGCATTCCGGAAGCACGCCATCGCCGTCTGCCGCCAGCGGTCCCTCACCGTCACGGCAGATCTGACGTGGGAGAACCTCTTTCTCGGCTACTATTACCAGAACCAAAACCACAGCTCTTGCACCGTCACGGTCGTGATAGATGGCCTGGACGAGGCCACGACAGAGACCCGGCGCACAATCCTGGGCTTGTTAAAAGACCTCGTGTCATCGCCGAGCACAAGTAGTAGCAGGGGCGGTATACGGCTGTCCATCGTCGGGCGGGGGTCCATCCGAAGCGACATGAGCTTCCAGCGGGAGGAAAAGAGATTCTTTATCCAAGTGTCCCGAACGAAAAACGGCAGCGACATCGACAGCTACATCCGGAAGCGGCTCGAGGAGCTCGAGATCCTCCGCGAGATGCGCAAGGTGAAGCCGGGCGGGCTGAAGAAGGCTAACCGGGAGGGCAGCAAGATCATGAAGAGGGTGTCGGAGGGGGCCGACGGCGTCTTTCTGTGGGCTAAGCTGCTGCTAGACAGTCTGATGCGGAAGGACCTGCCACAGGTTGAGGCTATCCTGGCTAGTCCCCCGGCCACGCTCGATAAAATGATCTGGTCCGTCTTTGACCGGCTTGCCAGCGACGAGGAGCTGGATCAGCAGGTGCTCCGCAAGATGCTCACATTCATGACCCACGCGCGCCGGCCCCTCTTGTTCGGCGAGCTCGACCTCATCACGAGCCTGCCCGCGCGCCAGCCCAATTATCTCCTGTGGAAGCACACGCGCGGGAAGCTCTCTTCTGTATTTGAGCTGAAATTCCCCGACGACAAGGACCCCGACGAAGAGGAAGACCGAAAGGAAGAGGTTCCTGGTGCTAGCGACACTGGCAGTGAAACCGAGGTTGGTGACAGTGAAGGTTGTGGGTCTAGTCCCTGTGAAACGGCCGAAAACCATGGCTTTGACTTTTCATACGAGGATGAGGACGACAACGACAGCGGGGCCGAGGTCGCGTCTGACGATGACGACGACGACGACGACGACGACGACGACGACATCTTTAGCACTTCAGCTACCAGCCTGCATCTTGCGCACGGGGGAGGCGGCGATTCGGAAGAAAACAGCGATTCTGAAGAAGCCGCCGAGGACCTACTTTCCCACCTGACGCCCAGCAAACAGCTCACCAAGGTCGCCTTCTGCCACACCCGTATCCGAGACTTCCTCGTTCGCGAAGGCAACCCCAAGAGCCGGAGAAGCGAGCCGCTCTCCATTATCCCGAGCGTCGCCGACGACGTCCAGGCCGATATCGCCATCGCCTGCCTGGACATATTCCGACTCGAACTATCCCTCCATGACGAGCAGCGCTTCCTCTGTGACTACCCGCTGTGTCATCTGCCCTTCCACCTAGATGGCGTCAACCGCGCCACCGTCACAATGGAAAAGGCGGGCCGTATTATTGAGGGGCTGTACTGGCTCTTCGGGACGGACAGAGGGACGAAGTGCTTTCTTCGCTCCGTGAGCGATTACGATGAGTTCCATAGCTCCAACAGTGAGCTGTGGAGGCTGTGGGTGGCCACCGACAAGTATCTAAGATTGGTGCAGTCCTGGCTGGGGAGCGTCGAGTCGGTGCGCCCATACACGAGCTTCGATGACGACGCGGTAACCTGGATGCTGGCAGCTGCAGAATCGCTCGAGCAATTTTTACGACCGGCCATAAGGACCGCGTCGATCGAATGGTTGTGTCAGCCAAGCTTCGAGAGCCACACGTATTTCGACAAGGGCGAGTTTCCTGCCTGGCTGATTAACGGTTGGCTGACATGGGTGAGGCTTTCTCTTCTTCTTCAGGTTTCGCTTTCTTTCTCTCGGGCATGATGCCGGCCCTTTCATCTCAACTAACACGTCACCAGATCGAGACCGGCGCGCCGCTCCCGGGGCAACCCGACTTCGATGACTTTGCCCCCGTGACACCCGAACGGCTCGAATACACGGCGAACTACGCTGGTCTTCCGCACGACGTGCACTGGCACACGTTGCTGGGGTGGAGCCTGATGATGGGCAAGCACTACAGCCCGGCCGAGGCGCACTACCGCAGCGCCATTGAGCTGTTCCCAGCCGCGTGGGTCGCGCTCGAGGGGCTGGCGCGCTGCGCGGGAGAGCAAGGCCAGAACGCCGGGGCGATTAGCTGGCAGGAAAAGGCGATCGAGGCCCTGCCCGCGCCCCTCCACTGGATTTCGGGCTGGCTCTGGCCGCGCATCACCGAGTGGGCGGGCCGGGTCGGCGCCATCGACCAGGCTTTTGAATCCGCACGCAAGGGCTTCCAGGCCGATCCGGCCTGCATTCTAGCCGCCACCACCTTTCTCGTGCAGCTGCGGGAGCACGGCAGGACAGCAGAGATGATAACAGTGCTGGAGGAGCTGGCCGGGACCGCCGCTGAGCCCCGTGGTGCCAACAACTTGAAGTCTCCCAGTGTCCCCTACAACTCGTTAGTGCGCCTATTCGTGCGCGGCGAACCCATCTTCGAAGCTATCGGCTGGGCCTGCGCCCGCGAGGGCCGGCCGCAGTTTGTCCTCGACGCGATTGATGAAGCGTTGGCTGTCGTCGACGGTGGCGATCGCGAGTGGATCCAGGTGTGGCTGCCCTACGCGGCCGGTCGGTTTCGCTACACCTTCTACGGTCTCGAGGAGTCGGCTGTAGCCTTACTTGAGACCTTCCTGCAGCGGCTGGGGCAGAAGAGTGAGCAGCTCCAGAATACGTACGCCGCCGAGCGCAAGGACGCGCGGAACCTGCTAGCGCAGCTCTACTTCGATGAGGCCGTCCAGGCGTGGGCCAAGGACGCGACCACGCGCCCGGCCAGCGCTGACAAGCTCAAGCAGCTAGCCGTCGGTGTCTTGACTGGCTTTGGAGATGATTATGAGGGCTTCGACCTTTTTCGTGCTGATTATCCGGCCATGCTGTGGGGCCGGTGGCTGAGAGACCACAAGCGCGCCGACGAGGCCAAGTGGA